TTAGCTGTTCTTGAGAAGAAGATTTTTAAAGATTTTTCCTATGTGTTGCTATGTAAAACTTTGATCGCCCATTGTGGCCCCACCCTACCCCAGGGGGTCATGATTTGAACAAATTTGAATCTACACTACCTGAGGATGCTTGCATATAGATATAACCAATCTTGGCTTTGCTGTTCTAGAGAAGAAGATTTTTTCCCATGTATTCCTATGTAAAATTTTGATCGCCCATTGTGGCCCCACCCTACCCCCAGGGGTCATGATTTGAACAAACTTGAATCTGCACTACCTCACAATGATTCCATGTGAGTTTCATATTTTCAAGCACAGTGGTTCTTGAGAAGATTTTTAAATGATGCCATTAATTTTTCACAAATTCATAATTATCTCCCCTTGGAAGAATGCATAGCCCTTCATTTGAACAAACTAATTGAATCCCCTTTACCCAAGGATACTTTGCAGCAAGTCTGGTTGAAATTGACCCAGTGGTTCTTGAGAAGAAGATGAAAATGTGAAAAGTTTACAACGACGACAACAAAGACAACGACGACAGACAACGGACAAATTTTGATCAGAAAAGCTCACTTGAGCCTTCAGCTCAGGTGAGCTAATAAAGCCATAAATTTCAAAAGTAGGTCAGAGTGACTTACATTTAAGTCGACATACTTTGAGGACCCAAGATGCATCAACTGACAAAGTTTGATAATTCTGAGCTAATTAGTACCTGAAAAAATATTTATATCAGGTCATAGTGATCTACCTTTCAGTCGACGTACTCCAAGCATCCAAGATGCATCAACCAACAAATATTGATGACTTTAAGCAAATTAATACCCGAAAAATATTGAACTATAGCCATAAAATTCCAAAAGTAGGTCAGAGTGACCTACATTTAAGTCGACATACTCCAAGGACCCAAGATGCATCAACTGACAAAGTTTGATGATTCTAAGCCAATTAGTACCTGAAATATTTAATAAAAGCCATAAATTTTCAAAAGTAGGTCACGGTGACCTACTTTTCAGTCGACTTACTCCAAAGACCCAAGATGCATCAACTGACAAAGTTTGATGATTCTAAGCCATTTAGGACCCGAAATATTTAATAGTAATATAAATTGAAAAGTAGGTCACGGTGACCTACTTTTCAGTCGACCTACTCTGAGGACCCAAGATACATCAACTGACAAAGTTTGATGACTCTAAACCAAATAGTACTCAAATTTGACGTTTTGTATTTAAAAAAGTTACAAGTGTTATATAGAAGTAACTAGAAATATGTCCATAGGACATGAATGCCCCGCCGAGGGTATATTAGTAATGCAACATGAAAATCTGTATTATTGTATGAAATTTGATGAGAATATCTTGAATAGTTTCTTTAAAATTGAAATTGAAATCTAAAAAGTTGGATATAGATGATAAATTTTCACCAAATTATGTATAAGTGCATAAGCTTACATAAATATATCTTAAATGGTTTCTTTAAAATTAAGCAAAATGCAAATTTAAGTAAAATGAGGTCAAGGTCCCAGAAAAGTTCAAGGTCAAACGTTTTTGATGCAGTTGAATAGTTCTCATAAATACATATCAGCATATTAAGTTTGATAAAAATATTTTGAATGGTTTATTTAAAACTGAGCAAAACACTAATTAAAAATAAATGAAGTTAAGGTCCAAGGAAATGTCAAGGTCAAAAAATGTTGATGCAGTTGAAAAGGTTACATCAGTATGTATTAGCATATGAAGTTTGATAAAAATATTATGAATGGTTTCTTTAAAACTGAGCTAAACACTAATTTAAGAAAAGTGAGGTCAATGTCAAAGGAAAGGTCAAGGTCAAAAAATATTGATGCAGTTGAATAGCTCTCATCAGTTTGTATCAGCATATTAAGTTTGATAACACTATCTTGAATATTATCTTTCAAAGTGAGCTAAACACTTATTTACGAAAAGTGAGGTCAAGGTCAAAGGAAAGGTCAAGGTAAAAAATATTGATGCAGTTGAATAGCTCTCATCAGTATGTATCAGCATATGAAGTTTGTTAAAAATATCTTGAATGGTTTCATTAATACTTAGCTAAACAATAATTTAAGAAAAGTGAGGTCAAGGTCAAAAGAAAGGTCTAGGTCAAAAAATGTTGAAGCAGTTGAATAGCTTACATCAGTATGTATCAACATATGAAGTTTGATTACACTATCTTGAATGGTATCTTAAAAACTGAGCTAAACACTAATTTAAGAAAAGTGATGTCAAGGTCAAAGGAAAGGTCAAGGTCAATAAATGTTGATGCAGTTGCATAGCTCTCATCAATATCTATCATCATATGAAGTTTGATAAAAATATCTTGGACAGTTTCTTTAAAACTGAGATTTGAACAGAGCTAAAAGCAAAGTGTGATGGAAGGACAGATGGAAGGACAGAAGGACGGAAGGACGGAAGACGGACATGACAAACACTATATGCCCAAGCCATATTCATGGCGGGGCATAAAAATGTTCCACATAATTCGCAAATTAGGATGTTCAGGTTATCTGCAATTAAATATAATCTGAGGGGATTCAGTTGTAACTCATTTACTCTAAATATCCACTTTAAATCAAGTTTCATAATGCATGCAATTTGTGTACATATGTAGCTTTTGTGTGAAGTAAACTGCATCAAACTGATCATGGATATTTTTTAAATGTTTTGTAAATGAAAGTTATAACACCATAAAGATACATGATGCCTAAAGTCATATATGTTTGTGCAGATCGAGGCTGCATGAGCTTACACATTGATGTTTTGTACATGTATATTCATTCAAGATTATAAAAATTGGCGCGAAAAGATTGTGTCACCCCTTTCGTAGAAGGCAAATGAACTAATCCAGTAGTTTAGAAACGCAGAAAACATGTTACACGGACATGCCCGTGCAAAGAATCGCAAATAATAAATATGTGCATGCAAAAAAAAAAAAAAAAAAAAAAAAAAAAAAAAAAAAAAAAAAAAAAAAAACTGAAGAAATTAAACAGATTATTATTTTGCATCAGTAATATGATTCTTTCTTCTGCAAACTGTATTTGTTTAAAGGCAGGTAACAAAATCCAGTGTAAATCAGCTTCCAGAAAATCTAGTTCATTAAGAATGATCGCTTAGTTTCGGATCTTGGAAAAATTAATCCTTATACTGCCTGACGCACGTGGCGTCAGGCAACAAGACGCCCAGGGGCCACATCGCTCACCTGGGCACTTTGGCTAGGAAAAGGCAGAAATCAGTTCAGTCTTGAAAAGTTTAACTATAAAAGTGGTTGGCGGGTGGGTGAGTGATGATTTGAACTTATTTGAATCTACACTTCCTGAGGATGCTTTTGAATTAATATGACACAAAATGGCTGTTGCTGATTTTTCCTATGTATTCCTATGTAAAACTTTGATCCCCCATTGTGGGGCCATCCTACCCACAGGGGTCATGATTTGAACAAACTTGAATCTACACTACCTGAGGCTGCTTCTATTTAAATATGACTAATCATGGCTTTGCTGTTCTTGAGAAGAAGATTTTTAAAGACTTATTCCTATTTATTCCTACTGTATATAAAACTTTGATCGCCCATTATGGCCCCACCCTACCCCCGGGGATCATGATTATAATCTGAGGGGATTCAGTTGTAACTCATTTACTTTAAATATCCACTTTAAATCAAGTTTCATAATGCATGCAATTTGTGTACATATGTAGCTTTTGTGTGAGGTAAACTGCATCAAACTGATCATGGATATTTTTTTAATGTTTTGTAAATGAAAGTTATAACACCATAAAGATACATGATGCCTAAAGTCATATATGTTTGTGCAGATCGAGGCTGCATGAGCTTACACATTGATGTTTTGTACATGTATATTCATTCAAGATTATAAAAATTTGAAAATATATAAAAATAAAAATTTAATATGTAATTTATTTAATTACTTTTGCAAAGTAATTGTAATTTAATTTTAAAATTACATGTCTTATAAAGTCTGTAATTTAATTGAAGAAAAAGTCAAACTAATTATAATTTAATTTATTACTTTTTTAAAGTAATTGACCCCATCCCTGTCAAAAGGGCCATTTTCTTCTCACAGGTGGTGTGGGCCTATGTTGGACCGTTTCGGAATGCAGGCCCAAGCACTGCCTATGCATGGTTTTGAAATGAATATGGTTTATTTAATTCATTTATATTTAACAATATATGAAACATAATCCCTCACACTTTTATTTTTTTTTAATTATAAACTGCTGATACTCCCATTAAGCAGCACTTAATTTGCGAATTGAAAAAAAGAATGATTCCAACCCATATTGCACACAGCTCAATATTCACATTTAAAAAAAAGAACAACAATGTTAAAATACCATCATGACTAAGTTATATATATATATATATATATATATATATATATATATATATATATATATATATATATATATATATATATATATATATATATATATTAAATTTATATTTTCGTGATTGCAATTTAGAAATAATGAAATAAACAAGTTAAATAATGAGAGATATTCAATTCAGCGAGGCAGCAAATGCCATTGATCCCGATGACATTCTCTAAATGTGGAAATGTTTGCGTAGTGGAATTGTTTGCGAATTTTGCGATGTTTCACAAAATTTATCAACACACGAACATTTTCCAAAAAGGGTAAAATACTAAACAACAAACTAACACATATTGTAAATTCTTTAACTCCCGCAAAAATAACCGCCATACAAAAGACTTGTTGCATGTTTTTAAAATCGCAAAATTTTACCCCGTAAAAATATCCTTGTTTACAGTATTTTTTGGGCACTATTCAATCAAGAAACCGCCGAAATATGGCTGATATATTGCCGACTCGGCGTAAAACAACAATAATCAATCAATCAAGAAAGAAAGCTCGTTTGAACCTTGGAGCATGCAGGAGTTTTTTTTAAATATTTACTTTAAGAACGGATTCTTTATAATGCTGAAGGATAGACTGTACCTCAGTCTTCAGTGAAGGTTGGTCATTTTCTATCTCAGCCATGAAAGACATGTACTGCAAAATAAATAAATAAATAAATAAAAGTCAGAAAATGAGACAGTCCTAATGTCAAGAGGTCCGTGCATCAAAATGGTCATCTGAACCACTTTGGTCCTGCTGTTCAACAAAAAGGTTTTGTAAATTAAAAAAGAAACACCCCTCCCTTTATCTCTATGAAAAGATTTAACACAATTTTGTGGCCTACACTAGTCCCAAGGAGCTATCATGGAACTTCAATCCACACATGCGAATGCTTCAATATCAACATGACCGACATGCTGTTCTGGAAAAAAAATTTGCCGTATACATGCATGGTAAACTTAATTCCCGATTTATGTCCCACCCTATACATGTAACTCTAGGCTTCATAATTTTATTTTCAAAAAATGTACGCACACAACTTGATAATGTTTGATTTGTGACCCAGCTACTCTTGAAAAATATTTTATTTCATCAATTTTATATACAAATATAAAATTTAATCCCATAATTTGTCCCCATGTTACCCGATGTCTCTTCGATTGGAAAGAAAAATGAATCTGTTCAACTTGCTGAAGGTTGTATGAGAGAGAGAGAGAGAGAGAGAGAGAGATTACATGTAATCATGCTAAAAGGAATTGCAATTTTGCAGTATTTTACAGAGTTTTTGTGCTGTTATGAGAAAATACAGAATGTCTGTTCCTTAAGGTAGTTTGAAAGCACATACACTTTCAACATATGGGGTGTGATTTCATTTATCACTACCATTTATATTTTAAATACCAAATTCTGTTATCATTGATATCATGAAGAGTGGTCACAACTTTTCAAATTCTTCTTCAAATATAATATATGGAGATAACGAACGGTATTCAAGCTCAAAAGTCCATTAAACAATACAAATCAGGAGCAGAGCAAACACGGACCTCTGAAACATCAGAGGTGGGATCAAGTGCCATTTATTAGAAGCATGATTGTCCAAAACAACCGACCTTTCTGTTAAAGTAGGATTACCAGTTTTAATTAAAGTATATTTGGGAATTATCTGCATTCATTGTTTGATGATGTCCCTCACCAAGAAACTAATAACAAGGGCCCATACAAGCCCCATTGAGACCCCCTCCACGAATAACAGACATTTCAACTGAGATCCCCTCTCTTCTTCACTTTATCAGCACACTCTGGCTGAATATTCTCATCATTCTAATCAATACACTTGGTCAATTAATTATGCACAAAACACTCAAGACTGATTACATGTAAAGCAATTTAAAAATATTTTATATTACCTCATCTTCCAATTCAGGCTCCTCCTCATCAAATAAGGAACCTACTCTAAAATATCAAAATTTCTTTTTATTTCAAGTAAATATATCCTGCTTGGAGGTACTTTCAATTTTACATTTCAGTGGCTTTAAACATGCTACTACCCCAAACGCACACTGCATAAGCACAGTGCATATTCAGTTAATGGTTTGCACAAAATGTTTCACAATTTTCATGAAGTGATTGGTAAAATGATTATTGCTTTACTGTATACTCAGTTTAAGATTTTTCATTGAAAGGCCAACTGCCTCCTCCCACCACCACCATTTGTTGTACATGTAGTAAGAACAAACCCTAGCTCTCACAAGAATCACGAATCTTTTTCTATCGGAAATAGAGTTTTCATGAGTATTCATTGCAATGAATGTATCATAAATGTTACAATCCTTGGCTTAACATTTATATCATCCCTAATAATTCCCTCTATATCTTTATTCTTCTCATTTCCTACTTACACTACGTTGTTAACCTTTGACTTTCGAGTTCCATTTAGCACAGTAAGTTCTCCAAGCTGCTGACGTTGCAGGTCATATAACTTAGATTCTTTGATCTTAAATTAAAAGCATTGGATTGGTATTTTTTAGCTTGAAAACTTACAATGAATATTGCTTTTGTGTAAATTATTCCAAAATCAACAACATATATCTATCATATGTATCAAACCATTTTAAAAATAACCAAGGGCCACAATGCTGGCCTGTGTCAATTAGGTCCAATCAAAATATTGTTTGAATTCTCTATATATTCCCAAGTAAAACTGATCCCAAATTGTCGTCCCAACCTACCCTGTTCCCAGGGACCATGTTTAACAGAGCTGAATTTACCTCTGGTCGATTGTATAAAGATATAGTTACGTAACCAATAGACTAGCTCTTGTTGAGCAAAGTTTGAAATGTTTTCTTCTCACTATACTGCAATGTAAAACTGATCCCCTATAGTGGCCTAACTGTCTCCCCAGGGGACTTGATTGCAAATTTGAATTTTCACCACAAGTGGATACTTGCATATCGATATGACTAATCATATGGTTTAGAAGGTTTAAGAAGATTTTCCCTATATGTTCCCATGTTAAACGTTGATTTCTTTACATATTAAGTGGCCCAAACCTTTTCAAAGAGCTTGTAGTTTGAAAAAAAAAATGAAAGAACAATATTTGATTGATCAATTGTATGTTGTTTAACGTCCCTCTCGAGAATTTTTCACTCATATGGAGACGCCAACAATATTTGAGGATGTTTGTACATTAATAAGACTTATTTTGAAAAGCTAATCTTGAAAAGAAGATTCATAGATTTGTCCTACATAATGTAAAATCATTAGTTTTTAATGAATGAAGAGATGGACAAATTCATGTCCTCCATGAAATGTTTAAATTTCAAGTACAGCATCATGTTTATCTACCAACTATTAAATTAAATCCATTTTAATTAGAACTTTTTCAACAACCTCCAAAGTTTGTCCCCACGTAAGTAAATGCTTTTACAGTACATGTGTGCCTATATAAAAATTTGCTCCCTTATTGTAGCCCCACCCTTTCCCCATCGTCTATGATTTGAACAAGAGTCAAGGACGTTATATTGCAATTGTTATACTCCTTACAATTACAGATTCAAATTTTCATTTACAGTTGTTACAGATTTAAATGCACATTTTTGTGTACTGAATTATACATTTGCCAATTTTTTTGTTTCTTTTTTGTAACTCTAAAGGGGTTATCCCCCTGAAGCTCGAAATACTCTCTGACAAAAAAATTTTAATAAGAATATTCAGAAATATTGTCCTTCATTAATTTGTGGGTCTTATTGGTTAAAGTCATTAATTAATTGATATAATGAGGTCAAGTGTCAGAAAACAATCAGGAAGTTCTTGTAACAAAACTATAAATACGACATCTTTTCTCATACAAAAGTTTTAACCAAGGTTAATTTTTTTAAAGGAAAAATAGATGCTTAAATTTTAATCTTCCCGCACTGTCATAAAATCTCACGACAATAATTCCATGGGTTTTTCAGAGAGAGAGAGAGAGAGAAAGAAAGAGAGAGAGAGAGAGAGAGAGAGAGAGAGAGAGAGAGAGAGAGGCTCAGCGTAAAAACAGGAGATGTATCGGACGAAAAAAATGTTAACAAGGATGGGAATATGGTGGAACATGCAAAATAGAACAAGGGATGCTTCTCTCTCTGACTCCACAAGCCAAACTTAGAAAATTGACAAGAAACTAAGTAAGCGTCTTGCTAAGCGCTGTGCATTTATGGTGGTATTAATGGGAGAATATATAAGTTGATAAAAAATTTAGTAGGAAATTCAAAATATATGAAGAAGAATTCAAACAAGTACTTTATTTTAAAATGTTATATAATAAAATATAATAAATGTAAAAGATATTTCCTATGCTATCATTTAAAACAGAATTATGGTTTTATTACGCACTTAAAAAACAAAAAAATACGGGCTATCCATTATATATTTATCAGGCAAATATAAAAAAAATGTGTTGATTAAATGTGCATATAAGGATATCCTACCCTCAGCCAGGAATGATAACTCCTGAAATTGTTATTTAATTTAAAAAGTCTCAAAATGAAACTTGAAATTGAATTTTTTTCATGCAACAATTTTCATTTCATGCATCTCAATATGATTCAAGGTTCCTTGAAGTCTTAGAAACAAACTTGTAAAAAATTGACATTTGTACCCCATAAAACTACAAAAATAAATACGTATTTAGAGAAATCGAATTTCTTTAATCTAGCCTTAGATGCCAATGTTTTTTGGCATGATATGAAATTAAGTGATCTGTGATGTCTTGCAATGAAAGCGAAAGTTTTTTTTTTTGTTTTTTTTACACTTTGTATCATATATAACTAAAGTAAATAGAAGAACTAAAATACCAATCATGTAAGTACAAAAACATGCAATTTTCTCCAAATGCCTGGATACCTATAGTTTTTTTTATCTTAAAATATATTTGTTGATCAATTTTCAATTAGAAAATGCATAGCAGGTGGTTTTATTCACGTTTCCTGAAAATATATTTTGAGATTTGATAATTTTCTCTATATGATATGACTAATTCTAATGATCAACTTTGAAGAAATACCGTGGGTAAATACACATTACTGAGAATCAGCCTACCTTAAACCAGAATAAAGGATGAATTTTATAACATGTCAGTCACCAACAAAACCAAAAAATCTCTTTCAGACAGAGAATATGTTAAATTATCTTAATGAGACAGATAAATATAAGGCTTTGAATCTTCTGCAGCAGGCAAAATAATAAATCCTACGGGACTAAAGACTGAAATAAATAAGACACTGATAAACTGATAAAAGAAACTTTAAAAATATAACGAAGGGTGAAATAACTACTGCAAAATGTATCTGATTTGAGCATGTACATGTATAATATTATATATGCAAAATAGAGCATTGTAGTTGATTGAGTGGCAGATGCATTCCACCAAAGATACTAAATAGAATACACAGGCAAATGTATTGTTTTTACAGTACATTTTGTTTCATAAAAAAACATAATAAAATCCAATACTTACTTCTCTAGGTGGTGCCTTTTCCTTTGGCAATTCAACTGAAAGGGAAAAATAATTAACTACATGTAAATTAAAATTCAATTATAATAATTATTATAAAAATTCAAAGCTGACCAGAGTATGCAATAGATAAGTACTTGACCCACCGTCATCAAAAAGACCCATCCACTGGTCTTCAAGTTCTTCCTCTTCTTCAGATTCTAGATCAAAATAATCAGAATAATGTGTATATTTGTTCCGAACTGAGAAATTTTTTTTAATAAACGAACTTATGAGATCTAGTTATCCTTAGTTACCACACAAAAGAGTACTGCAGGTTCTTTTTAAATTTTTCTTTTATGAAATGCTTGTTGATGCCATAAAAACTTTTTTTAATGAAAATTTGTGATCAATAAAATTGTGCATTTCTTAAAATGAAAAAAAAAAAAAAAAAAAAAAAGAACTGAGCCTAGGACTAGATTTCCCCCACCACCTCCTTTTCCACTCATTGTTACACAGTCTAAATTTAAAACAAAAGAAAAAACAAATTAATATAATAAGACCCTTGCTGCTTCAAAAGAGGGTCTGGTTCTTCATTTGTTCAAACTGAATCAACTATATAAAGCGATGCTATAATATGACAATTTTAATTGATATTGGTCGATTTCTTCTACAGAGGAAGATAAAAACGTTAAATAAGACTTAATACACTGTTTATGATTTCAAAAAAAAAAAATTAGTAAAAAAGGTAGTAAGAGTTGAAAATTTTATCATGAAGTCTGAGTAAGATTACAGATTAACTGTTCATTTTAAAAGAACAAAACCTTAAGTACGTCGAAGTGATGACTTTGAGATGTATGTGCAATCTTCTACTTAATACGTATTTTAAATCTGTGGATAGGGAACAAAATTTGGGACAGCTAAATACTTTTTGTTGCATCCCTGAATCATTATATACAGCCTTTCTTTATCTTGAACTTCTAAGTGACGAAGCATAATTATCAGTACTAGGTATTTTCTTGTATTTCATACAGTTTTACCATGGTGAAGTCGCCCGTGTGGCGCAGTGGTTAGAGCGTCTACTGTAGAGTCGCGGAGTAAGGAGTTGATCCTTACGTCGCGGGTTCGAAACCACTGCGGGACGTGGAGACCGGTCCTTCCAATAAGACCATATAAACTGAGGTCCTGTGTCGCAGTAGGTGCTGGCACGAAAAAGATCCCTCTGTGCTTAATGTCCCTGAGTGCCAAATATAGGTCAAAATTTGCAGCTCTCCACCAGCAAGTGGTGGCGTCTCCATATGAATGAAAAATTCTCGAGAGGGACGTTATACAACACACAAACAAACCAACCATGGTGAATTTAAGTCAATCTTCATTTATATTTTACCAACATGATAAGGATTTCATACCAAAACAAAGTTAAGAGAAAAGTTATTGGGACTTTGCATTCTGCCTCGTACTTGTGTGACTATTTTCACCCATACAAACGTGTTCGGAACCTTTTATCTTATGGTATCAAAATACCCGAGGAGTTCGAGGTAGCTCTGTAGAGATTAAGTGAAACTACAGCGAGACTGTTAGTGGATCAGGTAAATTATTCACTGTAATGTGGATAGGCAGTGACTTGAATGTGGAGATAGGGTAAACAGAAAAGTTACGTTACGTTTCAGTTTTCATCGTTTCACAATGACAGTGGAAATGTATAAATTAAAAAAGATTTAAGGCAATAACAATAGCCATATAAGGTAAAGGTTTGTTATTGAAGTATTTTGTTATTGTAGAATTTTTTGTTATTAGAATACAATCCAACCAAGATCTGGGGTGGACAGGGTGCAAATGTCGGTATCGGGCAAGATGCCTTACTGTAAATTATCACTATAGCGAAATTCACCTAAAACCCCCTCCACCTTTTTCTTAAACAAAAGGTATGAAATCACGTTCTGCCATGGTATTTTAAATAAACAGACTATATCGATTTTCTGTTGTAATAAAACTGGTTCTACTCTACAATTAAACTTCAAATTACAATAACATTAATAAGGTGTGATTACGGAAAGTCTCTTTGTAAAAGTTTCCTAAAAACTGTTATTTCTTACATGTGATTTCTTACAAATGATTTTTACTGTACATTTATATCTGTTACTAATCTTTTAAGAAATTACCAAGAAAATTGAGAGTCAGTGTACTTCTATTTGAATTCTTCCTTAAAGGTAAACAGGGTAGTTACATGTACAGTAATAGACGAAGCAAAATAATACATATCGGTACCTTCTTTTG